GCACATATCTACATAGAAGGGTAGAAGCGGATGGCTTGTGCCAGTCATGAAAGCAGTAGAACCAGGCCAACCAAAGACAGGGTAAAGGTTTCTACATACCTGGGAGATTTTTCCCAGTGCAGAAAAATATGACTACCTAAATCAACCCAAGGGGCGTTTGGGAGGGGGGGGGAACACAACCTGATGAAGATGAAAAATGATCTAGGAGGCATGGAAAGTTGACAGAAGTTGAGACTAAGTTAAAGGTATTTAAGGAGATGAGGCCCTTTATAGCTTAAAGAATCCTGGGAAACAAGAGAGCTGAACATGAGGAAAATTTTCAAATCATTCAGCCCACCATTCATCCCCAACAATTCTTCAGGCTTGCAACTTGTTCTCTAACATCAAACCAGGGTCCAGTGTGCATCATGGAAAGGCAGTGAACATGATGGAAAAGGAGTGAAAACAGACGAAGTCCAGGTTTCTGCATACTTGGAGACCCATCATATGTATATTTTTGGTGGATTCAGGGGGTTACAATAGAAGGGTAGGTTGCGGTGGAATCCCTTTCAACAACTTCTTCTCTTTGCAGTTCTTTATGATACCCTTTTTTTTAGTTCATTTTGAGACACAGATTTATACTCATGAACATCTAGGTCTTGGGGGGGGGGGGGTTTGCAACCTTCCTACTCAGGGGAAGCTACTAAGAGTACTCTAACAAATTGCCACAAACCAAGTTTCAAGAAAGTAACAAATCAAGGACCATCCTCATGCCTGTGAACCTGCCCACCAGCTTCAGACATTTTCCTCTTACCTCATCTATAGATTTATTAAACATAACAATCTCATTGTTTAGATACAATTTCTGACAAGTTAGCCACATCTGAGTTCTGGGACTGGCCAGATTCTGTACTCTCCTTTGTTTCCTGATCTTGATACCAGAGGCAATTTTTAACATCCTTTTTATAAAAAAAGACAAATAAGCTATCTTTAGTAGAGTCTAAAATGGGTCATATTACTAATCTGTAAAGAAAACCATTACCCTATTGTTAATTTAATGAAATCTGCTAATTAATATGTGACATTGATTTCACCCCAAAATAAAATCAGTCCATAACTTGTGAACTCACTGCAGGAAATTAAATTTTCTTACATAGAGTAATTTAGCAGATGAAAACACTTAAGTATGTAACAAGTACTATCTCCCACAAACCTATACAGAAATAAAAGGTATAATATTAATTTCTAAATGGGGGGGGGGGCATTTTTGCTTGCACAGGGAATTTTACCTGAATTTTGCACGGTATGACATTGGGAAACAGCTGATTGGCCTTAAAGGGTCACGTCACCACACTGATCAGTGTTTCAAACCAGTTATTTGATGCTAATAATGTGTTTTTCTTTTTAAAAAGACATTCCAATGCGCTTTACAAAACATTTACAACATCTCTGTGATTTTTTATATATTTTATGCAAAAGCAATATGGATATTTACAAGGAGTAAGGCCTGTTGTGGGAAGAAATACAACGAGTTCGAGAAGGAAGCTCCAGTTGAATGTCCTGGCTGTGGCTGGTGGGGAGGCAGAGGGAAGGGGAAAACAGAGGGAGACAAACCATGTTTATTTCCTTCTGCTTAACTATAAGGCAGGGCTGTCTCAAGTCATTTTGCTGCCCCAAGTGCGTAGTACCCTGACTTATGCTGATTTGGGGTTATGCAATGGCAGCTAAGGTAGAAAAGCACCTCCTCCTATGCCATGTCTTCTGAGTTCTAGGGGTCTGGAAAGCGGTTCCATAGCCAGTTACAGGATTGCCAACTCTGCGTTGGGAAATACCTGTAGATTTCAGGGGTAGAGCCTGGGGAGGGCAGGGTTTGGGGTGCGGAGGGACCTCAGCAGGGTATAATGCCATAGAGTCCATTGCCCAAAGCAGCCATTCTCTCCAGGAGAACTGATCTTGGAGATCTCCAGGTGCTGCCTGGAGGCTGGCAACACTAAGGGGAGGGTCAGACCTGTAGATTTGAGAGGTAGAGCATGGGGAGAGCAGGGTTTGGGGTGCGGAAGGACCTCAGCAGGATATAATGCCAGAGTCCATTGCCCAAAGCAGACATTTTCTCCAGGAGAACTGATCTTAGAGATCTCCAGGTGCTGCCTGGAGGCTGGCTGACAATACTAAGGGGAGGGCCAGACCTGTAGATTTGAAGGGTAGAGCCTGGGGAGGGCAGGGTTTGGGATGCAGAGGGACTTCAGCAAGGTATAATGCCATAGAGTCCACTGCCCAAAGCAGCCATTGTAATAGCTGGGAAAGTTTCTGTAGGGGAAATGATGTGCTGTGGCTGGGAAACACAGTGATTTCTGGGAGATCTCCAGGCCCCACAGGGAGAGCGGCAATTCCAGTGACCGTTTAAGGGAAAATTGGGCTATGTATTTTGCCAACTCCAGTGACCGTTTAAGGGAATACTGGGATATATATTTTACCTCAGGACACATTCATTGACTCCCAACAGCAACAACGAACTGTTTAGAATGTTAGAGGCAAAGGCCAATCAGGCCGCATATTCAAATGACCTCTGTGTTCTGACTGGCTTTGGGGGGAGAGGAACAGCAAACTGTTTAGAATATTGGAGGCAAGACTCAGGCAACGCAGCCAGTGGATAGGGACAGCTTCTGAGTGACAGATCAGGGAGCCAACTGATTTGGGAGCATGTGGAATGTTTAGGAGAGTGCCACCACCAAAACAGAATTATTATATAGAGAGATGTCTTGCTTTCCCCCCCAACAGGACTAAAGGCAGCTTACATAATTAAAGCTGGCTAAAATACAGGTGCCTTTTCTCTATATTCACTACAGCTCCAGCAGAAATAAAGCTTCATAGAGATTGTTAGAGATGCTACAATACTGAAATGATAGTATCATGGCCTAGAAAGTTTTCATCCCTTCCAACAGCCTAGAAAGGGAGCTTTAAAGACCTTTGGTCAGGTCATCCTTTTGGTTAAAACAGAATTAAACACCCATGTTTTAGATGTGAGGTACTGCAAGGTCAACAAAAGTTTCTCTTTAGCTGCACAGCTCCTATAGGACATACTCCTTTACAGGGGTCATTTCATAGAAAAAAAGGTGCAGGAGCTCATTAGCATAACTTATTTGCATATGTCACACCCCCTGACATCACCAGAAGTGTGTCAGAAGGCAACACCCACCGCTCAGGCTCCACTGGACTGTTTTGGATTGCTAGCTATTGGGGGGAGGAATGTGCAGATCTGTCCTCGCAAAGGAGGGAGAGCTTGTACCTGAATAAAACCTGGTCTTAGAGGTGCCACTGGACTGTTTTGGACCAGGGGGCTGGCTCTGCAGCTTACCTGGCTGCTTCTTGCTCTGACTGAGGGCTGCTGGGAGCAGGGGGTGGGGCTTGTTGCATGTGCCCACCCCCTGGGCTCTTTACTATCGAAGCTCCGCCCCTATGCGCTCCTGCAGGAAATTACCCCTTCTCCTTTGTCACTTATATAGCTGTTATGTCTTGATTTAACATATTTCTTAAAAAAAACATATTGTTACAGGGATCACAAAGCTACAGTAGCAGGACAAGAGAGACCAGCTCTGAGCTGAGTTCTTTTGTATTTGGTTTTACTTTTCGACTGGCTGCTGCCTCTGTGGGAACCCATTTCTTATAAAGTCTCAGACTCCCAGGATGGCACCAGGCCTACTCATCATAGTGAGAAATAAAAATCATCAGGGAACTGAAAGGAAGTGACTCAGCTTCCAGCTGGAAGCCACAGTGATAACTTGTGTGTCTTCTGGATAGGCAGCCACAGCCTCAGTCAGTTTCCTTTATTTTCAAGCTCTGTCATCCTAGTGGTGACAGCAACAAACAGCCTCATGATTAGTCATTAAAAATGGAAGTCACAAAAGGTCCTCTTGGGTTTCCCCAAGTGCAGAAACGTTGTTGGGTACACGTGTGCACACACACACACAGACCCCTCATTCAATAGAGATGTGTTTTCATGTCAGTCACTGTACTACTAGACTCTAGATTGGCTGATGATTCACTCTATTTGCCAGTCATTCACTAAGGAGGGTCAGGCAGCCATAAGGGGAAGAAAAGGATCTACCCAGTTTATGTATGGCCATTGGTTAAATCAGGAAACTTTGGTTTAAGAAATCTGATCAGTGCAATAGGTACCTTCCTGTAGTTAAGTGCGCGGACTCTAATCTGGGAGAACCAGGTTTGATTCCCCACTCCTCCACTTGCACCTGCTGGATGACCTTGGGCAAGCCATAGTTCTGGCACAGCTGTTCTTGAAAAACCAGCAGTTTCTGTCAGAGCTCCCTCAGCCCCACCTACCTCACATGGTGTCTGTTGTGGGAAGGGGAAGGGGAAGGAGTTTGTGAGCTGCTCTGAGACTCCGAGTGAAGGACGGGGTATAAATCCAATCTCTTCTCTTCTTCTTCTTCTGTGTGCTGACCACACAAACGATATACAACTTATCGGGCATCAGTTTATTTTTCCCCATAGTATTTCTTTTTCCCTTGGAGTTGGTTATCAGTCCATTCTCTCCCTAACCATTTTATCTATCCACATTGGTAACGAAAGAGTTAGCATCACCAAACTAGCTGTTGGTTTAGTTGCTGTCGTACAGGTACCAACAGTTTCTCCCTTTGACTTAGGAAAACACTTTAGAATAGGACTTCATAAACCACTTTGAGACAACACTTGTATAAATAAAATAAATACACATCCTAACGTCAAATTGACAACTGGTGATAGGGAGGTGTTTCACATTACCTTGTAGTAGGGATGCTAGCCTCCAGGTAGGACCTGGCGGTCCCCTGGAATTACAGCTCATCTCCAGACTACAGAAATCAGTTCCCTTGGAGAGAATGGTGGTTTGGGACTCTATGTCATTGTATCCCAGTGATACCCCTGTTCTCCCCAGGCTCCACCCCCAAATCTCCAGGAATTTCCCAACCTGGAGCTGGCAACACTACTCCCCCACCACTCCCCAACGGTGGACCTGGCATCCTTACCTTGTGGCACATGTAAGATCCACCTTTCTTCACTCTGTCAGTCCCTGTTGGGGGTCCTTTCTGTGGATGGAAGGACATGGATCACTGTTTTTCTCTGGTACAATACAGAAACAATCATATGGGAAACATAAAAAGTATCAGGAATGGATGAGTGGGGGTGCTACAATCCTCAGACTGCAGCTGCTTTTTAAACGGGGGGGGGGATAGGGTACCCTTGCAAATAATTACACTGTGGGAGCTGGAAGACAGTCCAGTGTAATTGCTCAGCTTCAGCGCAGCAGTGAATGCTTCAGCTTCTAATTGCTGCTTTCTTCAGTCAAGACTGTGGCAAGCTATTTTGGGTGTGCTAGAGAAGTGTATAATATACTGCTAAGAGCTTGGTGACAAGAATGAAATTGTGATGATGCATTGAAAAATGTACTGGAATCAGTATCTGCTTTTGGGTTTTGGTCTCTAGGCTAGAGATGCAAAATTTTATGCCAACAAAAAGCCAAGTCATCCTGGGGTGAATTTATTTGGTGCTGAAATCCAATCTAATTTTGGTTTTGGTGACAGGCATATCTCCATAATGATGCATTGACAGCAGAACACTGCCTGGGAGGCTGAGCAAAACAGATCTCACTTTCCTCTATGCTCAGACATGACAAAATATGTTCAAGTAAATTACCTTCATTAAACACCAAGACTATGGAGCAATGCCATAACATTTTAAATGTTTGAGATGTACATAGTGGGTCTTTAGAAAGTCCTTGACATTCACTGAAAAAAATGGTTATTTAGGAACAGTTGTGCAGCTACTAGAAATATTTCCAGATATGTATACAGAGAGAGGGAGAGAGGGAGTGCAGCCGGAGCGGCATTGTATATGGGGAGGAAGAGATGGGCCGAACTCTATAGAAATGCAGGACTGGAGAATCCCAGTGCTTTTCTTTGAAGTGGTAATGATGTGAGATCGTGATTCATCTTAAGACCATAAGAACGTAAGAGAAGCCAATGTTGGATCAGGCTAATGGCCCATCCAGTCCAACACTCTATCACACAGTGGCCATGGCACAAGAGAGGGGGCGGTCCCACAGAGCCGATATTTGCTCCACTGAGAGAGCAACAGATTAAGCTTCCTCTTCCCCACAAAGCGGTCCCAAGTCAGATCAGGGTCTCAAACCATTGCCATTCACAAAGAAAATACACTTGGGAGATCCAGGCTTCTGGCTCCCAGCACTGCATCTAATTAGGCCCAGCTCATATCTGAAAATATATTTTGGACTTCCCAGTTGAACTGCATGTAACACTTGAAAGCCCACTATGACTATGCATAAATATGGTAATTGTGGTCACTTTTTTTGCTAGTTGTTTGTTGTTGTGGTTTTAAAGTTTTGGGTTGTTAACCACCTTGTATTAGCCCAGGAATCCCGCCAGTATTAGCCCAGGAATCCTGCCAGTACCTTTTCTGGTGTCTGCCAAGTATTTTTAGGAAGTGGGTGAGGCCTAGGGTTGCCAGGTCGTTGGGGTGGGGCGGGGACATCCCCAACGTGATGACATCACACAGAAGTGACGTCATCACGTTGGAAACCGGCAGCCCCCACTTCTTGCCAAAAGCATTTAAAGTGGCTTGGAGAGGAGGCGTGTGGCCCCCGCCTTTCCCCAAAATCATTTAAAGAGTCTCTTTAAATACTATTGGGAAGAGGTGACGGGGAGGCCATGTGCACCTGCCCTCCAACCCCCAAATTCATGGCTTGGAGGGCAGGTTAGGCTTCCCAAGTCCCCCCGGGGGGCAGGGAAACCCCCGCCCCAGAGGCCCGTTCCCTGCTGCTGCCGGATCGGGCCCCGGGGGGAACTCCTCCCTGACGTGCACGTCACCTGGAAGTGACGCGACCACGCCGGGCACGCTGGGGGCGGGGCCACGGCCATCCGAGGGAAAACTCTATGGTTTTCCCTCGTATGGCCGTGGCCCCACCCCCAGCATGCCTGCCGTCGTCACATCACTTCTAGACCTTGCCATGTCAAAATTCCAAATGTGCCTGCAGGCTCAAAAAGTTTGGGGACCCCCCGTATTAGCCAAATAGAGGGCCAGGTATTTTCATCAATGAAGACATAAATGAAAAGTCTTCCACATGCTCAGAACAAGGTAACAGAAAACACAGCATTCCCAGAAATGCAGACCCACGTCCCAATGTAGCCTGCTTTTAAAGGAGACAGAAAATTGCTTCTATGTGGCTTCATTAATCATTTATCCAGTAAATTGGAAGGAAAGAGCCATCACAGAGCCTCTCACACCCTCAGCCTCCCTCCTGGGGTTGACCATTAGTGGGTGCCCTGGGAAGAAATTTTCCAACACAGTTTCTAATGGACAAGACACTTCAATCCTGAAAGTGCTACACTAAGAAAAGCATCTTTTCCCTTATACCAAACATTTGCCAAGTGCAAACACTGTAGGGCTTTGTGCTGTAATTTAATAAGGATTACTTGGTCAAGCAATAGCAGTTTAGTGAAATCTGATAGTTTAGCAAAACCCAAGTAAGGAGTTTTATTAGAGAATTAAAGTAAAAAGACAGGTTGCTTACCTGTAACTGGTGATCTTCGAGTGGTCATCTGTGCATTCACACCCTTGGGAATATACTGCGCCTGCGCTGACCTTCTCGGTACCGGTAGCTAGCAAAAGGGATTTTTGCGCCTCTCCCAGGTCACGCGCCGGCTCCACTGCGCATGACCAAGGAGGGGCACGCAGATCCCGCCAGTTCCTTCTGACCGCCGCCCAACAGCCTTCAAAGAAACAAAATGAAGGGCCGAGAGCAGAGGGGAAGGAGGGCGGGTGGTGTGAATGCACAGATGACCACTCGAAGATCACCAGTTACAGGTAAGCAACCTGTCTATCTTCTTCGTGGTCTCTGTGCATCACACCCTTGGGAGAATAGCAAGCAATAACTCTTACCTGGAGGAGGGGCCGAGGCCCTACACCTGCGCCGTCTGCAAGATAGACCGACCCAACGCCACACGACGAGTAGACCGGACATCAAGGGCATAATGCTTCACGAAGGTGAGCGGAGTAGCCCAAGTCGCAGCGTTGCAGATGTCCTCCAATGGCATCCCTCTCAGGAAAGCTGTGGAAGCCGCCACCGCCCTTGTAGAGTGGGCGCGAAGTTGACCTGGAAGAGGTCTCTTAGCCAAAGCGTAACATAGCTTGATTACTTCCACAATCCACCTGGACAGCGTCTGGGAAGAGATCTTCTTCCCTAGGGAGGGCATACTGTGAGCAACAAACAAGGCTGGAGACTGACGAAAAGACTTGGTCCTGCCCAAATAGAACAGCAACGCCCTCTTAACATCCAGAGAGTGCAATTTCCGTTCCTCTTCATTGGCAGGAGACGGGAAAAATGACGGCAAAACTATATCTGAACGTAGATGAAACTCCGAAACGACTTTCGGTAAGAAGGAGATGTCCAAAGACAACGACACCCCATGAGGGGAAAAAATCAAGTATGGTGGATCACACCTTAAAGCAGACAACTCACTGACTCGACGAGCAGAAGTAATGGCCACCAGAAACGCAGTCTTGAGCGATAACAACTTTAGAGAGCAAGTGGCCAGTGGTTCGAAGGGTTTTCCCATCAAAAACCGCAAAACTAAAGCCAAATCCCAGGCCGGAGTCGGAGAACGACGGGGAGGGTACAGGCGAATAAGACCTTTACAAAACTGTTTCGTCTGAGGATGCGAGAAAACTGAAAACCCATCAATAGATGGATGAAAAGCTGACACCGCAGCTAAATACACCTTAACTGAAGAAAAACTGAGTCCCAAGTCCATTCTGGACAAAATAAACGCAAAAATAGACCTCAAATCCACTGGCGGAGGAGGTAAATTGGAAGAACTCAAGTACTGTAGGAATAAATCCCACTTCTTTGCGTAAGACGTCCTAGTAGACAGTTTACGACAATTCAACAGGACCTCATTGATACGGTCATCCATCACTGAAAGCGTATTTCCCATAGAGTCAACTTGAGACTCAGAGGATCGTAGTGAAGGACCTGGCCTTCCTGAGCTTGGAGGAGATCCAACTCCTGCGGGAAGTGTACGAAGGATCCCTTGGCTAACCGCAGCAGTGTCGGAAACCACACCTGCCGAGGCCACCAGGGGGCTACCAGGAGACAATGGGGCTTGTCCTGTTGTATTTTCACAAGCACCCTGTGGAGCAGCGGAATCGGAGGAAATAGGTATAGAAAGTCGTGAGCCCACGACATCAACAGACCGTCCCCCATTGACAGAGGGTCCAACCCCGCTCTGGAGCAAAACCTGGGACACTTCTTGTTCAATCGAGTTGCAAAAACATCGATGTGGGGATGTCCCAGATGTTGAAAAAGAGGAAGGAGATACTTTGAGTTCAACTCCCATTCGTGGTCCGATGCTCCCCCTCTGCTCAGGAAATCCGCTTGTTGGTTCAAAGTTCCTGGCAGATGGGCAGCTTGGAGAGTGATGTTCCAATGAAGGCACTCTTCCCATATGTCCATAGCTAGCCTGCAAAGGGACCTGGACACGGTCCCGCCCTGGCGATTGATATAAGCCATCGCAGTTGTGTTGTCCGTAAAAATCAACACAGCTTTTCCTACAACCTGTCTGAGTAAGGATCTGAGGGCAAATTTTACGGCCAGCAGTTCCAGATAGTTGATATGATGACTCTTCCAAAGGGGTTGCCATGGAGCACCCACACAAGTGTCGTCTGTATGAGCACCCCAACCCCACAGGGAGGCATCTGTGGTGATGGACATTACGGGAACGATCGGTTGGAACGGTGCACCCGCCAACAGATTGGTGTCCACGAGCCACCACTGCAGGGAGACGAGGACCTGCGGAGGCACTACCAGTTGAAGGCTCGGAGGATGGATGGAAGGGCGAAATTTCTTTAGAAACCACAGCTGCAACGGGCGCATGCGAAGGCGTGCATATTCGATCACGGAAGTGGTGGCTGCCATGAGACCCAAGATCCGCTGAATGTGGACCGCTGATGTCACGTTGGACTGGAACAAACGTTGAATTTCCAGACGAATGGTATCTGCCCGTTGGCGAGG